ATACTCTTTATTATAAATTTCATCTAGCCAATTGATTCTTACAGAATGCTTTTGTTGATTTCTGCTGAACTCTTGTATCCATAGTAAACCGATGGCTGTAATTCAACCACGATTTGGCAGAAGCAGACTATGAGCTAATGTTTGATGACTATTAAGTTCAGCAAAGTCACTCAAGGCATTAACAAATGAGTATAGTTCCCACATGAAATTGGTGGATGTTCCTGTTTACTCTGAACAAGAAGGAAACAATGAAGATATGTGAACTTCATTCGTAAATATGAATGATGTCACTAAATTAGATCATGGTTTTTCAATACTGGAGGACTATTTCCTCAATTTTTGGTGCTATTCACAATCTGGCAGCTACAGATATACTTTTAAGTTTTATGACACACTTTTGGGTTTAATCTTCATCATTGACATGTTCTCCATGACTTTCTTAAGTCTAGACAAGCAACAAAAAAATACATTGAGCCCTGATTTGTAGTGTTCACCAATTTTTGTGATGTAAATGCTCCTGCCATGGCTGATCTCATGCTATGCACATGACATCACTGAACACATAGATGGGACAAGATGAGCAGTAGTGTATCAATATGTAGTATTTCCACAATACAGGTAAAGTAGAGAAAATAACCTAAGAGCATAATAGCAAAATGTAGTAGGATAATTAGGAAGAGATGTTTTGAGTATTTATGTTTATTTTTAATATAATTTAATTGTAAATTTATATAATTTAGTTTTTAATAATGACTGTATTTAACAACTGGCTTACAAAATCCTGAAAATTTAACAATCAATCAGCTAGTATAAACCGGCTCCAGCACACCACGCCCATATTGCATATCACGCCCATTTAGGAGGGAAAGATTCAATTCTTCTCATAAAATGCTGTGACATTTGTCATCTACAGCGAAACATATAAACAGGTGCTTAGTACATGTATATTGAATGAATTAAAACATTTAGAAGAGTATTTGCTATAATCAAAACACACACTTGCTTTTTATAAAATCATACAACCTCATGTAAAATAACTACATTTGACCTAGCAAATACTATATACTTACTGTAATCAGTCCCTTTTCTCTGCTGCAGTGTGATTTTCAACCCTCCTAAAGGCACAGCTTGTGTTTTGAAACCACAGTTTGATCCTACCTTGTTCAGTTTAGAAGAATAACTCGTAACAAATCTAGTTGAAAAATACCAGCAGGTTCCTTAAGACCCTGAATGTAAGGTCTTCTCAGGTGAGCACCTGTTAATTAGCTAGCAGGGATCTGGTCTTTAGGGGACTTGTCTCACCAGCTGCTTCAAGTTGTTTACAGTAAGAGACACTCACTTTTATCCCTGCAATTAACCAGAGGTGGGGCCTTCTCAGCCTTACTTTTGATTCACAAATGCCAAAAAACTTCCCCGTCATGCCTGCTCCTCTGAGACCTTGTTCTTCTGTGAGTGATCTGTTTGTGGGTTCAGGGAGGTGACAACACGATGCAGACCTGGAGCTGTACTGAAGTCACTGCTTTGCAGGCAGAGGAGGTGGCCATTCATCAGATGAGCAGAGCCATACTGCATGACACTGTTCCTTTGTCATGCATTCATTTTCATTCGTTCTCACTCAAATAATGAATAAACGAGAACCAAGTGCCTATCTAGAATCTGAGCGGTGTGAATTTTTAAACATTTAAAAACCTTCATTTGACTTTTTCTTACAGAAGCAAAGGATAATCATTATAGAAGATAATAATGACAATAGATGAGTAAAAACATCCATAATTCACTCTCTCAAAGACATTCACTAAGTCTTCCAGACTTTTTAGTGCATATATAACATAAGATTGCGAAATTGGGGCCATACTTAATATAATATTTTTTTTACTTAACATTATATAATAAAAAAGATTTACTTTTAATATGGCTTTCGCACCAGTCCTAGGAGGAGACAGAGTGTCGCTTTAGACTTATTGTCTTGAAGGGAGATAAAATGACCCTTCTCGTATTCCCGCTTGCTCTTTGCCCGTGCAGCCTTGGAACAGAAGGAGCCAATGGCTGGTGCAAGCCCTTCTAGAATATGCTGTTATTCTGTGCAAGCCCTTCCACGCAGAATATGCTGTTCCCAGAATGAGGCAACCTCAGGCCTTGGAATCTTGTCCTTCTTGTGTTTTTGTTTGTTTGTTTTGTGCTGTCCTTTAATTTTGGAAATTAGACTATTGTTAATGCATATTCTGCAGTTGTTTCCTTTAGCTTAGTTAATGGTAAAAAAAAAAAAAAATTTAATGCAAAATTGTGTGACCTGTGCTAAGAAGAGCAGAAAAGAGTTTTAGTGGCTACATTGCCTCTAAAATAGAGGAAGCATCATCTGTCATGGGGTTAGTTAATAAAAAAGAAAGAAAGAAAAGTAAAATAAAATAGAGTGAGCGGCAGTGTCCTCGGACAGAGCCAGGAGAAGAGGCAGCCAAGGTCAGATCGGTCTGCCCAAAGAACTCTCCACTGGGACGTTGGAGGCTTGTAGTGACAGTTACCTCCTTTTGTCTCTGAGCAAGTCCTAAAGATGCTAAGATTTGGCTCTGAGCCCAACTGTTGGTAAACACAAGGGAAGAAGGCAGGCAGCCGGGGTGGGGGGAGTGGGCGTGAGACTTCTCACTGAGGCCAGAGAGCTGCACAGAGGAGGACCGCCCTCCCAATCTCTGTCCTTCCCCATCTACTCCCCTTCCCTGGGGCGGGGGGTGTCACAGTCCACATCCGCCTTTGGCTTTAGCTCCTGACTCTCTCCCCGCTGAGCTTCAGACAGTCATGGCCAGGTTCTTACTGGACAGTTCTACCTGATATCCCACCATACTCTTCACACTGAACGACTAAAAGGGAGCCCACTGTTGCCTGCACCACAGCCCCCCTCCTGCTCCTCTTCCTGTGTCCTTGGGGACTGCATCCTCACTCCTCAAGCCTGCAGTCCCTCTCTGTACTGTCTTTACAGTCTGCCTCCACTGTCTGCCCCGCTGCCACTGGCCAGGTTCAGGCCCTGCTTATTTCTCGCCTGCATTGCCACGATACCCTCCTTAGCAAATAATGGGCCTGCCTGCAGCCCGGCCCCTTCTGGTGTCATTGTCCTAGTGATCTGTCCACAGCCCGGCAGGTGTGGTCCCTGGACCAGCTACATCAGCATCACCTGGGAACTGGTCAGAAATGAAGAATCACAGGCCCCACGTTCTCTACGGGCGAAGGTCCAGTCTGAAGATGGAAAGCTCTATTAATTTCAATAAGGAAAATCTAACATAACAAATGGGTCACTGGATGAATAAATCGTATACATTCATGCAGTGAAAACCTATTCAGGAAGCAGTATGAATGACTCACAAAGGCATTATGCTGAATGAAACACTCAAGTCTCGAAAGGTCACATGCAGTATAATTCCATTTATATGACATTCTAGAAAAGCAAAACTATAGGACCAAGTTCAGTGGTTGCCAAGGGCTGGAGGGGGGTATGGGAGGATTTGATTACAAAGGGACAGCATGAGGGAAGTTTTGGGGGTGCTGAAAGTGCTCTGTATCCTCATTGCAATGGTGGGTACGTTTGCCTATACTTGAATTAAAATGCGTGGAACTGTATACCAAATAAAGCCAAGTTGGCTGTATGTATATTCCAAATAATAAATACGTAAACAAAGATAGTAATGAGTTATAAACCATTGAATAAAATCAGAAACCATGAGTTCATATTGATATAAGTAAATACAAAATATCTTCCTCCAAACACCTACTAAATGGGAGAAAGATTAATTTTATAGTGGAGGATCCTGGCAGACTCATCTTAATACAGTGATTAAAGTTAACGTCATCCTGCAGAATGGAAGGAAATATTTGCAATCTACACATCTGATAAAGGGATAATAACTAGAATCTACAAAGAACTCAAACAAATCACCAAGAAAAAAATTAACAACCCCATTAAAAAGTGGGCAAAAGATGTAAACAAAAGTTTTTCAAAAGAAGACAGACAAATGGCCAACAAACATATGAAAAATACTCAACAACACTAATCATCAGGAAATCACCACGATGATATATCACCTTACTAGCTTTTATTAAATAGCTTTTAGAATAAGCTTTATTAGAATAGCTTTTATTAAAAGGTCTAAAAATAATAGATGCTGGAATGGATACAGAGAGAAAGGAATGCTTATACCCTATTGGTGGGACTGCAGATTCATACAAACTCTATGGAAAACCTCATGGACATTTCTCAAAGAACTAAAAGTGGACATATCATTTGATCCAGCAATCCCACTACTGGGCATCTACCCAAAGGAAAAGAAGTCATTTTATTAAAAAGACACTTGCACTTGAATGTTTATGCAGCCCAATTCACAACAGCAAAGATGTGGAATCAACCCCAGTGCCCATCAGTTCATGAGTGGATTAACAAAATGTAGGATATGTATAGCATGGAGTACTACTCAGTCATAAAAAGGTTGAATTAATGCCTTTTGCAGCCATTTGGAAGGAAGTGGAGACCATTATCCTAAGCAAAGTATCTCAACTATGGAAAAACAAACACCGTGTGTTCTCTCTAATAAATGGAAACTAACTGAAAGGCACATAAGTACACAAAGGAAAGTAAAAGTCATAGAAAATCAAGCGGGGGTGAGGAGGGGGGTGGGGAGGAGGGGAAGGGCAAAACCCACCTAACGGGTATAATGAACACTATTCGGGTGATGGGCACATTTATAGCTCTGACTCAAGCCACATATCAAAAACATCTGTGCCCCCTTAATATTTTGAAATTAAACAAAAGAGTTAACATCATCAATAATGTACAAAGAAGAGCCATTTGTCCTCTGATGAGCTTCAAAGTGAAGATATCCAATGGGCCAGCTTCATGGGCAAACAATGTTTGTGGTCGCACAGGGTCCACTGCTTAGAAGGGGTCTGTGCTTGGTTTAATGGTCTGTTGTCACCTTCTCAAAATTCTTAAACGAGGGGTCTGCATTTTCGTTTTGTAGTGAGCCCTGCGTACAACGTAGCTGGTCCTGAACACAGCATTGCTTCTGTGATATTCCTGCCAAAGACATATCAGCGTGAATTTGATTGTGGTGAAACATCAGCCAAAACCAAATTAATAGGCATTGTATAAAATCAGTTGCCTCACTCTTCAAAAGTTTCAGAGTCATGGAAGCCACTGGAAGACTGAGGAACTGTTTCATGTTGGAGGACAATAAAGGCATATGGTAGGTTAACTGCAAGGCAGGTTTGTATGCGGGGTCTTTTAGCTACAAAGGGTGTTGTTAGGACAATTTGTGAAACTTGAATGGGGTCTAAAGGTTAGATAATATAATAGTAATGTATCAATATTAACTTTCCCATTCTAATGGTTGTATTGTGGGAGTGTAGGAGAATGTTCTTATTTGTAGACCTCCAAACTTAAATATTTAAGGGTGATGGGGCATCTTGTTGGGGACTTACTCTTAAGTAGTTGAGGAAAAAGGTTCTTTGTGCTTGTTTTGCAGCTTCTCATTAAGTTTGAGCTTGTTTCAAACAGGGAAGAGGGATGAGGAGGGGATAGAGTGATGGGGGGGAGGGAGGGCTTCTTTCATAAGGAGACACTTGACCAAGACCTGAATGAGGTGAGGGAGCAAGTCACTGGGGACCTGGAGGAAGAGCATTCCAGGCAGAGGGGACAGAACACACAAAGGGTACATGCCTGGGGTGTTCAAGGAATAGCTAGGGGGCCAGGGAGGCTGATGCAGAGGGAGGGAGTGGAAAAGGCTAGGAGGTGAGGTCAGGGAGGTAATGGGGACACCATCAAAGTTCCAGAAAGGATGTTGGGTATTGTTCTCTGTGCTGGAAGACATTGGGGGGGGGTTGCCAGATGAACACCATGACCCAATTTGTGCTTTACAAGGGTAGCTCTGGCTGTGGTGTGGGAGATAGAAGGGAGGAGAGGCAGGGGTGCAGCAAGCACACCAGTGGGGAGAGGATGGGAATAATTCACTCTCTGATGGATAACTGGGCTCTAGAAACCCCCAGGAAGGCTGTGAAGAGCCACTGAGCAGCCGACAGCACAGGGCCGGGCCGGCTCAGCCCAGCAGCAGGGCTGCCATCTGACTGCCCCCACATCTCGTGCCCGGCTTCCCTTGGAGACCTGCCAAGAAGTGTCCGGCCCCGAAGCTGCTCATCAAAGGGCAGTTCTGATCATGACTTGCCAGGAAGGTTGAAAAGCCAGCTGGTTGCATTTTTTAACTAATTTTTCTATTATTTGGCACAGTGCTAAAGTGTCCTTTTAAATTAATTATCATAGAACTAAAGACAAGCTCAGGGAGAAATATTGTAGCTGTCAGATCTTGTCTTATTACCTGGGGCTGCCTGACAGCTATAAACACTTTTGTTTTGGGCAGAGTTTGCATTCTCAAGGCCCTTGAATGGAAGGATCCTGAGGTTTTATCTGGTCATATCCCACAGAAAAATCTATGCATTGACCCCTGATTTTTGGACCTAAAGAGACCTTGGTAAGGAATGAGCCCAGTCCTTCTTTTTCTGGACCCATCAGGTGAGTGACAATTTAGAGCTTGATTGGTTTCGTTTTGTCTTAAACTTGTCCTCACAAAAGACCTAGACTCAGGTGCTGGGAATGGTGTTTATTGACTGTGTTTTCTCTTTCCTTCTTGGAACACCCAGTAATCTTAAGGACATACCTAAAAGGAAATTTCATGTCTCTTTTGTGTTTGCACAACAATGATGTTTTAATCTGTTATATGATTCTTTTCAAACATAAATATACACTTACGCTATTATGTGTAAAGCACACATTTTGAAAATCCGAGAACAGTCTTACACTTGAAGGGTAATGTTTCAAAAATGTTTCTCCCCTACCTTTAATAAATGCATATCTATTTTAAAGTGCATTTCAACTGTGATCCTAAGCCTCTGAGATAGTTAATCCCCAGTTTACAAAGCAGAAACGCAGCACAGTTAAAGGATGATTTGCTCTAGGTCAGAGAAAAAGCCAATGACCTTGGCAATGAAGCGGCTAGTTAGAGTTGAGTGATTTCCAGGTCAGCACACGGAATGATGCTCTGCCAAACAGAGCTCTTGCCACTGATTTTGTTGGCTGGATACTGACTGAACTGGTTTTTATTCAGCCCACAGTGCCTGTTCCCACGTTCACCAAGTAGGGCGGTGTAGTTTCAAATTTTGTTTGAAGAGATTTACACCATTCAAAAGGTAGAGATGAAAACATGATCCCCTTCCTTAACTCTTAGGGTTATAATTCTAGGGATGATGAAGCATCATTTAATTGTATTTATGAAAATACAACAAAAATATTTAAACCTTAAAATAATCACATTGCCATGAATGTAATCTTTCAAGCAATTTGTAAAAGATGTTAGGCATTGCTATGGTCTCTAGGTGATTCTCAAAATTCATATGTTGAAACTTAATCACAGTGGGATAATATTAAGAGATGGGGACTTTAGGAGGTGATTAAGACATAGGCTCTGCCTTCCTCAATGGATCAATGCTCTTATAAAAAGATGTTGAAGGGAGTGCCCTAGTGCCTTTTTGTCCTTTTCACACTTTCCCACATGTGAGGACAGAACAAGAAGTTCCTCACCAGACACCAAATGCCAGCACCTAGATCTTGGACTTCCCAGCCTCCAGAACTATAAGAAATAAACTTCTGTTCTTATAAATCACCCAGACCCAGGTATTTTGTTATAGCAGCATAAACAGATCAACACACGCATGCTGTAATATTCATTGCAGTGATGTCAAACTTGTTGTCGTACCCCTGTCAAAATCAGCATTTCCTGTGGCCACAACTTATCTTTTTGTCTTGTTTCCTGAAACCATTCACAGGTCTACTGAATTGGATCGCACAACTTCCAATACATTTTTTGCTGCCTGAATAAGATGAGCAAGGAAATAAAAATATCTGGGTCTTGAGTATACTGGCTATGTGACTTTCAGTTTCTATGCACATTAATGTTCTCAATAATGAGTCTAATTCTCATCCACGGGTTTACTGACTTATGGGTTAGATAATGTCTCCTCAAATTCATATGTTAAAGTCCTAACCCGTAGTATTTCAGAATGTAACTGTATTTGGAGATAAAGTCTTTAATTTAAGTAGGTAATTAGGTTAAAATAAGGTCTTTAGGGTGGGCCCTGATTCAATATGACCAGTGTCCTTACAAGAAGAGGAAATTTGGGCACAGACATGTACATGCATGGAGGAAAGACCATGTGAAGATACTGGAAGGAGAAAGCCATCTCCAAGCTACGGAGAGAAGCCTCAGAATGAAACCAACTCTGTCCACACCATGATCTTGGCCCTCAGGCCTCCAGAACGATTGGGAAATACATTTATGTTGTTGAAGCTACCCCAGTCTCTGTTCCTTTGTTATGACAGCCCTAGGAGACTAATGCAGATTTTGGTACAAGGAATAGGGTGCTGCCGTAACAAATACCTGAAAATGTGCAAGTGGCTTCAGGACTGGGTAACAAGTTGAGGCTAGAAGAGTTTTGAGGCCATATTAGAAAAACCTAGATGGCTTTGAAGAGACCGTTGATAGAAATATGGACATTAAAGGTTCTTCTGGCGAGGCCTAAGTTGGAAATGAGGAACGTGTTATTGGGCACGGGAGGAAAGATGATCGTGGTTATAAAGTGGCAAAGAACTTGACTGAACTGCATTCCAGTGCTTTGTGGAAAGTAAAACTTGCAAGTGATGACCTTGGGTATTTAGATGAGATTTCTAAGGAAAGTCTTGAAGGTGCGGCCTGGTTTCTCTTCACCACTTTGTAGCAGAATGTGAAAGCACAAAGCTAAGTTGAAGAAGGAGTTGTTAAGCACAAAGGAACCAGAATTTGAAGATTTGGAAAATTCTCAATCATCCATATTGCGATACGTGAATATAGTGTTTTTTACGTTGTAGGGCAGCTATGAGGATTTAATGTGATAGGTTATGTGTACTGTAAGAACTTTATAAACTGTTCCACAAAAATAAGGAGCTATAATACATCTTAGATATTTTGCTATAATACATCTTAGATATCTTCCTCATGAGGTCAAGGAGGAGGAAAATATCAACATTATTTTTTTTTCACTTGGGATATTTGAGGTCTAGAGAGATGAAGTGATTTATACATAATGTCATAGAGTTACAGGACCTGGATAAGGTTTGTGTCTTTAAAGTCTTAATCCAACACCTTTCTAATATCATGTTCTCTCATGTCAAAGGCTTCTAGACTTTCAGCAAATAAGATCAACAAGCATTTAATCACATACCCTTAACAGCACATAGATAGAAATAGTAAGGAATACAAAATAAGCAGAAGGCACAGTCTTTTCTCCATAGTATCTAGAAAGCAAAAAATAAACATATGTCTTAGCTAATAAACTACATAGCAATCTTGGAATAATGCGTTTTCAGTTTTCCACACTCATTGATTAACTTCTAAAGGCAGGTTGGTGATCTCCATGACATTTTTTGGAAAAATGACAAAACACAGATTTAGAATCTTAAAAGCATCTATATATTTTTTTGTTGTTGTTGTTTGGCATAGATGCATTTTCCTCCCTTATAATTTCTATGATTGTCTTGGAAGGAGCAGGTTTTCAAATCAGAGGCTGATGTCACTGTCTGAAGGTCCTGCCAAGTGTAAACATTTCTGATGGAGTATATTAGTAAATTTGGTCACTGATGTAATTAAAAATGGTCCCAGGAATTGCAAAAGTACAATTTTGCAGATCTTGTCTTTGCAATTGTGAAGTGTTCTGGAAGTGTGAGCTGTGATGTCTACCTTTAGTACAACTTCCCAGGAAAAGCTCAGCTTGTGGGAACCTCCCGTGAGTGAAAGGCCTTCATCTTTCTGCTCTTCATCCAACCTCACCACTGCTTTTGTAGTTAAGCCACACCTGCTGCAATAGAGGTGGTAAAATTCTGTCTGCCCTCAGACACAGAGGTAAAAACCTTCGCATGGTGATAATAGCAACAAATGATGGGAGGAAAAGGGAAAAGAGAATGGAAGGATACCCAGAAAGCTTTCTCATTCTGTCAGCAATTCCCCCGCTCCACAAACACTTGCTTCTAAGATGCCATCTACATGGATTGGACCAACCAACTCATCTTCATGGAAAGTAATGCTTTCAGTAAATGTTTTTGCTTTCTTTTTCTTTTCTTTCTTTTTTTGAGACAGAATCTCACTCTGTTGCCCCGGTTAGAGTGCCATGGCATTAACCTCGCTCACAGCAACCTCAAACTCCTGGGCTCAAGTGATCATCCTGCTTCCGCCTCTTGAGTAGCTGGGACTACAGGCATGCACCACCATGCCCAGCTAATTTTTTCTATATATTTTTAGTTGTCCAGATTATGTCTTTCTATTTTTAGTAGAGATGGGGTCTCACTTTTGCTCAGGCTGGTCTCAAACTCCCGAGCTCAAATAATCCGCCAGCCTCGGCCTCCCATAGTGTTAGGATTACGAGCGTGAGCCACCTCACCCGGCCCTTTTTTGCTTTCAAATGAATCTACTTTAAAGAATGATCCTCAGATATTATGGCCCTATAACACAGTTTTGAGAGATGGCAGGGAAATGTGATCAACTTTCCATCAGTGACTTCAGGGAGACCAATGACAAATTATTTTTGTTTTCCTATTTAAAGAATCTCACATTCACTTTTGTTTTCCTATTTAAAGAATCTCACATTCACTTTTGATTTTTATGTTGTGATTTTCATGTATTTGATTGTCACCAAGTTAAAGACATAAATCAGCATATGTCCCCAAAGCAATATTCGAGCACGAAACAAGGCACTTATGAAGAGTAAATCAAATATCTTCTGATCCTACATTACCCAACTCCACTCATGACATGACCACGGCATGGGACAGTGAAATGCCTCAGTTTGTATAAAGAAGGGCCACCTTAAATGTGTGCCCATCACACGGTACTGCACATATATCCCAGGGAACCCAAATACTGGGAAAAGAGAAGCTACTTTCCCAAAACAAGGTTTATTCATATAATTGGCTGCTCTCTTTTTATCTTTCTTAACCCTAAAAAAATCAATCTTTCTATCCATCCCTCCTAAAAGGTAAATTAGCTAAGACCTTACCACTCTTCCTTTAAGCTTTTATTTCTTCCATTTAAACCACCTCTGACATTCTTACTTATCTGGATTCACATGTGCTTATATTCTTTAAAATTTTTTTTTATTTCAGCATATTATGGGGGTACAAATGTTTAGGTTATGTACGTTGCCTTGCCTCCCCCCACCCCCAGCCCCAAGTCAGAGCTTCAGGTGTGTCCGTCCCGCAGATGGTGCATAATGCCCTCATTATGTATGTATATACCCATCCCCCTCCCCCTCCCATCTGCCCGACACCCAATAAATGTTATTCCTATATGTAAACTTAGGTGTTGATCAGTGAAACCAATTTGCTGGTGAGTACACGTGGTGCTTATTTTTCCATTCTTGGGATATTTCATTTAGAAGAATGGGTTCCAGCTCTAGCCGGGAAAATACAAGAGGTGCTATATCACCATTGTTTCTTAGAGCTGAATAGTACTCCATGGTATACATATACCACATTTTATTAATCCACTCATGTGTTGATGGGCACCTCAGTTGTTTCCACAACTTTGTAATTCTGAATTGTGCTATGTCTTTTGTTCTTTTGGGTAGGTGCCCAGTAATGGGATTGCTGGATCAAATGATAGATCTACTTGTATCTCTTTAAGGTATCTCCATATTGCTTTCCACAGAGGTCGAACTAGTTCGCAGTCCCACCTCATCTGCTTATATTATATAGAGGCTGCGTGTGTGTGTGTGTGTGTGTGTGTGTGTGTGAGATGCATCTGTGCGTGCATATCTGTGTTTGTCTTTGTGTGTGTGTGATGCATCTGTGTATGTGTACCTGTCTCTGTCTCTGTCTCCATCTGTGCGTGTTTGTGTATGTGGTGTGTTTCTCCATATTCCTTTTCATTTGCCTCCTAAGTGGCCATGCCCGGATCCCCTCCCTACTCCTTTAGATAAAAAGCAAAGGACTTTGGGCAATACTAATTATAGTAGCAGCTAACATTCATTCACTGGAGCTTACTATGTACGTGTCAGGCAACCCATTATCTTTATATATATTAACTAATTTAATCCTCATAACAATCCAACAAAGTTGGAACTATCAGCCTCATTTTGTAGGAAAGGAAGGAAACTGACACATTGAGTCTTGTAATTAAATCTAGAGAAATGAAAAATGAACTAAACTGTCCACTCAAATGCAATCTCAGGCTTACATGCTTTAGTGTGTGTGAGTGTGCATAGAGATAGAGAATGTAATATAAGTGTATATATAGTGCGTAGAGTATATATAGAGAACAGGTTTGGACAAATCCCTACAACATATAATTCACCTTATTTCATCGCATCTTTCTTATACCATATTCATGAGCCTGTGGCTTTCCTTCCTTCTCCAACACAGCTGGTCACAGGGACAACAGTGATGATTTGACCTGCTCACAGAGCATCTGAGTAGCCCTGACACCCAGTAATGACATTTACTTTTTCCCTAAGGTTTTCTTGCCCTTTGAGACTTGAAACTTGGCAGCCTGTTTACCACACGGCTCCATGGTACCTTACTGCCACCTAGAGCTGATGCATTGAAACAGATTCTAGATAATGCAATATCTAGAACAAAGTAAAATAAAAAGGAATGCCCACTCTGTCCTAAAACAAGCTATTTCAGCCTGAGCCATTTTATATAATGGATTTTAAAATTAAATTCCTTTCTTGAAGATACTCAGTTTCCTGTTTCTGAAAGTGAATTGTCATCCAATATTATTACTGAAATTAAAAAAGTTCAAATCTGGCAGTTCTCAAAATACGGAATAAGGGATTTGTGAGAGAGAGAGAGAGAGAGAGAGAGAGAGAGAGAGAGAGAGAGAGAGAGAGAGAGAGAGAGAGAGAGAGAGAGAGAGAGAACATATTTTGAAAAAGAAACCTTTGCAGTTGTATCCATCATTTGACAGATGAGAAAACTGAAGCTCAAAATGGTAACAGATTTCTCAAGTTCAAATCGCTAGTAAGTAGTGCTGGCAAGATTGCAATATAGGTCTCATCTGCTCTTTAATTCCAAATGAACTCATAACATTGAATTGATATAAGATTTAACATTTCTTCCCAATACTTAGTGGCCTTCCAACTGCTCCCCCCACAGTCCTGGAGGAGGTGTCAATGTGCCGTTCTATGCAAGGGTCACCGTTGGCAAGAGCTGGTGGCCTTGGAGTTCTTTCCCAGGAGCAGTGCTGGGTGGACACCATTCTGTGCCCTCCTCTCCCCAGTCAGCACATGCTTGTCAGGTGGTGGCTGAGGTCAGAGGGAGCAGTAAGTCCCTAATCCCAGAAGTGAGTGAAGGACTGATGTAAAAGGACAAAGGCCACAGCAAATGGCCTCATTAACACCTTGTTCTCAGCCACCATGTCTCAGCCTGGGAGGCAGGAGGAAGCTGTCCTTGTGAGGTGGGATGTGACCAAGACGGAGGGCAGGGAGGAAGTGTCATCTGTCACCTTTCTTGTGGCATGGATCCCATGGGCAAGTCTATGGGTCGGTTCTTATAACGAAATAATGCTTTCAAATGCGTAAAAGGAAATACATAGGATTATAAAAGAAACCAAGGAAGTGCAAATAAAGTTACCAAAGTCTTTAAAACATGGGATATTGTGTTGTATGAGTATCTTAGCTCAGTCTGCTGTAAGGAAACACCCCAGACTGGGAGGCTTAAGCAGCAGGCAGTTGTTTCTCACAGTTCTGGAGGCTGGAAGTCTAAGACCAGGGTGCTGGCGGACGCGGTTCTTGGAGATGGCCCTTCCTCTCTGCAGAGCGCTCCCTCCCCCATGAGTTCTCTCGGGGCAGAGGGAGAGGACGTGTGTGCGTGTGTGCGTGTGCTCTGCTATTTCTTCCGCTTCTTATAAAGGCACGAATTCTGCCATGGGGGCTCTAACCTCTTGGCTTTATCTAAACCTAATCACCTCCCAAAGGCCTCACCTCCTAATATCATCACACTGGGGGTTAAGACTGCCACATATGAATTTGGGAAGTGGGGGACACAAACATTCACACCTAACAGCCACCCTACTTAGGAAGAGGGGTGAGCATGAGTGATGATGTCATGATGATGACACGCCGCAGTGTGGACATCTGACCACAGTGGACATCAAGCCTTCCATCACCTAAACTCTTCTATGTTGAATGATGATGAGTCATGATGAGCATGAGTGACATTCTGAGCTATCTGCCACAACGTGTAAGGTGTTACGAAAATATCAGCCATTTCCATTGGCAAAGTCCCAGGAACTTCTAATGTGGTTGTGGTTTGTTGCTTATATTCATAATTAAAGAAATGCTAAATTTTGGTTGGAATTTAAAAATAAGTATGTAGTTTTTTTTTTTTCCCACCCATGTCCACAGACCCTGTGACACTCTGTCCATGAGCCTCAGTTTATGAATCTCTGCCTCAGAGAATTCAGCACATTCACTGGTTTGTAGTCACCAAGGAGTTGCAGAGGGCCCTGGAACTGACTGTGTTAAACAGCCCCTTCCGAGCGAGCCTGGAGAGACACCTGGATTGTGCAGGCAGAGTGTGCCACACAAGCCACCCCTGGTCCCAGCATCCGTCCTCCCCCAGCCCTATCACTTTTCGGAAGTGGAGGACACTGGGTGAGTTGCAGGGTCTGTCCTGGGCCC